CCGGGAGCTCCCGGCCGCATGTCTGCTCCCTGTGGTGGCTGGCCGCAGACTGAGCTCTGGCGGCCGGCCTTTATACTTCCTGTCCCGCCCCTTGACTTCCGGGGGGCGGGGACAAGCGGTGGTGGTCCCACCCACTCTGGTGCCTGCACGTGGGCTCCCTCTTCTGGGCAGGAGGGGAGCCACACCGACTCACTACACACCCTAAAAACTAAACAGATTTATTTGGGCATAAGCTTTCGATGCATCTGAAGAAGTGGGTTTTTTACCCACAAAAGCTTATGCCCAAATACATCTGTTAGTCATTAATGTGCCACCGGACTCCTCGTTATTCAAAAAGACAGAGCTATTCATCTCCAAGCCCTTCTGATGGAGGCAGCACTTAGACCAGCCTTGGAACGCACCTGCTCCGACTCAGCGCCTAGTACGTCAGCCTTGGTACGGAGCACTCCACCGGCACTGGCTTCACCTTCGCACTGCTCACCATTGCCATTGCCATAGAAGCACCACAGGAAGCAGCGCGCTGAACATGGGCGCTCCCTGGTCTCGAAGAAGGATGGGAAAGGCGACAGGCAAAGGACCCATGTCGGCCCATCTGCCTTTGTCAGGACTGAAAGGTGCAGTCTCTCTGCCCAGGGCTCCGAGCCCAGTACAGGAACTGCCTCTGACTCCAGGCAGCGGCAGGGGTCCCATATACCTTATGGTGCCCTCAGTGTTGGAGGTCTTTCAAGTGGCCAGGGACCTGATGGCCCTACTGGTGCCGCATACACCATGGAACTTCCCTCCATCGGTGGAGCCAGTGACAACCTCCCCCTCCCAAAGGAAAGCCTTCCATGGGGTCTCCCCAGTGGTTGCTTGGTCATCAGCATTCGCCACAGTCCTGACACCAATCCACAACTCCAAGTCTCCGGTCTCCAGCACCGCGTCTGTGGTCTCTGACCCCATGTCCCTGGTCCCCAGCCCCACATTCCCGGTCCCCAGCTCTGAGACATAGATCACCAACCTCACGACGTCAGTCCCAATCTCCTGGGTACCGGCTGCCCTCTTCCCAGCACTGGTCACTGTCATCACACCGCCGCTCACTGACGCCCTGTTCCTAATCTCCGATGCCTCGGTTTCCTTCTCCACGTGTCTCACCGCCAACTCGACGCCAGTCTCCGATGCGGCACTGATCTTTGTATCCCTGCCTCTGATCACCTTCCCCTCAGTACCGCTCAGCCCTGCACCGTAGCCAGCAGTGAGAGGCACCGTTAGTGCCACCATGGTCCCCAAGAGAGAAGTCCTCCTCGGAATTGGAAAGGGATTTTGTTTCCCAGTCCCAAAGGCACCATTTGGCCCATGCACCGGACTGCGGTACCGGCCCTGCAGCGAGTGTCTGGCTGCAAGGTCAATGGCCACTACATTGGCCAAACTGGAACCCATGAGGGCTCCCTATTATGCCAGGACTGTACTCCTGGCTGTCATCCACAGCCTAATTGGGAAAGCAGATTGCAGCACCTCCCGTCTTGATACAGGAAGTACATGGCAGTGGTGGCCACTTACCTGAGGCACTGGGGCATTCAGATCTACCCATACCTCAATGACTGGCTTGTCAGAGGTGGGTCACCGGACCAGGTGCAGTGTGGCCTTTCTTTTGTGCAAGCCACATGTCAGGATCTAGGCCTATTTATCAACGAACAAAAATCGACTCAGACTCCCGTTCTAAGAATAGAGTTTATAGGAGCAATATTTAGCTCCACCCATGCCAGAGCCTACCTGCCGGAGTCCCGATTTTAAGTTATGTTGGATCTCATTGAGCATGTCAGAGCCGACCCGCTCATGACTACCCAGGTATGCCTCAAACTGCTAGGTCACATGGCAGTGTATATGTACGTGGCTTGATGCATGGCTATGGCTCAGATAGAATATCAGGGTTGGAAGGGACCTCAGGAGGTCATCTAGTCCAATCCCCTACTCAAAACAGGACTAATCCCCAATTTTTGCTCCAAATCCCTAAATAGCCCCCTCAAGGATTGAACTCACAACCCTGGGTTTAGCAGGCCAATGCTCAAACCACTGAGCTATCCCTCCCCCCAAAAACTGGAGGGGAGTGTCTTTCTAAAGTTCTTGGGGGGGTATGACAGGGGAGGGACTTGAACCCTGGACCCTCAGATTAAAAGTCTGATGCTCTACCAACTGAGCTAGCCAGGCTCACAAAGAGTAACATCTCTACAGACATGGCTGGTGTCGGTCTTCTCTCCCAACAGACACAATTTGGACTTAGTGGTCAAATGTCCTGTCATCTCTGTCTTGGTGGATGGAACTGCGAGCTGTTTTGGATGGGGTCCCTTTCGTAGTGCTGCTCCCATCGGTAATGTTGGTCTCCAACAAATCAGATCTGGGATGGCCAAGGCCTCTGGAGGATTGTTCCTTCCACATAAATATCAGGGAACGCAAGGTGATACGCCTGGCTTACCAGGCATTCCTCCCCATCTAAGGGGCAGAGTGGTACAGATCTTAATGGACAATACAGCTGTAATGTTTGACATCAGCAAGCAAGACAGAGCCCACTCATCTGCCCTGTGGCAAGAGACTCTTCACCTGTGGGACTTCTGTGAGCATCATGCCATTCATCTGGAGGCTTTGCACCATAGGCGTCAACTTCCCCTCTGCCTGGTGGGTGCTCAACCCCCACCCCGCCCCACCTCTTCCCACCCCTGCACCACCCTCGCCCCACCGCCATTCCTCGCCCTTCCCCCAAGTCCCCGCCCCTGCCCTGCCTCTTCTCCGCCTCCTCCCCTAAGCATGCCATGTCCGCGCTCCTCCCCCTTCCTCCCGGAAAGTCCTAAGTGCCGCCAAACAGCTGTTAGGCGTCTGGGGGGCAGGAAGCGCTAGGAGGGAGAGGGAGGAGCGGGGATGCGGTGCGCTGGGGGGGAGGGGGAAGGAGATGAGTGGGGAGCTTGGCTGCCGGTGGGTGCAGAGCACCCACTAATTTTTTCCCCCGTGAGTGCTCCAGTTCCAGAGCTCCCACGGAGTTGGCGCCTATGCTTTGACCCTACTGAGCATCTGAAATGCATGGGCGGATCTCCTCAGCAGGTCCTTCTTTCTCCACGAGTGATCACTCCACCCAGAGATCATCAGCATGATCTTTCGAAAGTTGGGGACTCCCCAGGTGGACCAATTCGCATCCAGTCATAACAGGAAGTGTCAGTAGTTGTGCCTGTTTCGCAGTCTAGCCAGAGGCTCCCTGTTCAACGCTTTCCTGCTCATTTGGATGGGAACACTGCTGTACGCCTTCCCGCCGATACCCCTGGTTCACAAGGTCCTACTGAAGGTCAAGAGGGACAAAGCGAAGGGCATCCTGGGAGCTCCAGCGTGGCCTCGCCAGCACTGGTTTGTCACACTTTTGGACCTCTTGGTGGCAACCCCGCTAGAGCTCCCGCTTCGACCGGACTTGCTCTCACAGAACTGAGGCCATCTGCTCCATCTGAACCTAGCATCACTGCATCTGACGACATGGCTTCTGCATGGCTGAATGCAGAGGAACAGGCCTGCCTGGACCAAGTCCAGCACATCCTGTTGGGTAGGAGGAAGCCTTCCATCAGGGCAACTTATCTGGCCAAGTGGAAGTGCTTCACCTATTGGGCCATGGGCTCAGGTCTCTCTCCCTCCTGGTCAACACTACAATCCACCTTGGACTACCTGCTCCACCTCAAGCACCAAGGCTTACTTGTCAGCCATATCAGCCTTTCACCCTCTGGTCCAGGGCAGATTAGTCTTTGCTTATTATATGACAATCAAGTTCCTGGTGCTAGCAAGGCTCATGGGCCCTCCTTTCGAGCCTCTGGCTTCATATTCTCTGCTGCTCCTCTCATGGAAGGTCTCCTTCCTGGTGGCTATCACTTCGGCTCTCAGGGCCTCCAAGATTAGAACGTTGACATCTGAACCCCCTTATACAGTGTTCTACAAGGAACAGGTCCAGCTGCATCCCCACCCAACCTTCTTACCTAAGGTGGTGTCACAGTTCCACAATAATCAGGACATCTTCCTACCAGTTTTCTTTCTGAAGCCTCACAAGACGAACAAGGAGTGTCAGTTAAACTCTTTTGATGTAGAAGGCTAAAGCCTGCGTAACATCCAGAGGACCAAACTCTTCACTGAGTCAATGCAGCTCTTCATCACAGTGGTGGACAGGATGAAAGGTCTGCCCATGTCCACTCAGAGAATCTTCTTGTGGATAATCTCCTGCATCAGATTCTGCTATGAGCAAGCGGGGGTGTTGCCTCCAGCCATTGACTGCCCATTCCACCAGAGTGCAAGCTTTGTCAGCAGCCTTCCTCGCGCAGGTACTGATCCAGGATATCTGTAGAGCCACCACCTGGTTTTCACTTCATACCTTTGTGTCCCACTACGCCATCATGGCCTGGGATGATGCCAGCTTCAGCAGAGCAGTGTTGCAAGCAGCACATCCATGAACACCGAGCCCTCTCCGGGGATATTGTTTGTGAGTCTCCTAACATGGAATCAACATGAGCAAGCATGCAAAGAAGTAAAAACGGTCACCTACCTTTCGTAACTGTTATTCTTTGAGATGTGTTGCTCATGTCCATTCCATGCCCTGCCCTCCTACCCCACTGTCAGAGTCAATGGCAAGAACGAACTGTGAAGGCGCCAGAGTCGGCCCTATGTATACCACTAAGAAAAATCTTCGGTAGCACTGCACGTGGGCGTGCACAGTCCTAGCATGGAACGGACAGGAATAACATCTCAAAGAACAACAGATACGAAAGCTAGGTAACAGATTTTTTGGTAGGCCACTAGCAGGCATTTTGTTGAGTTTATGATAGTTCTGGTATAATGTTATCTTAAAGTGTTCCCATAGTAGCTCATGTAGGAGCTGTGACATTCGTTCTCTCCAAGATACTCATCACCGTGTGTTTGAACAAGGCAATGCAGTGGGAAGGGAATAGTGCAAGTGAAGTTAAGTGCCAGACACTTGAACTTGAAAGTGAATGTCTTTGTCCAGGTTGAGAAGACGAGGCATTACCTGCTCCTACGCGAGAAACTGGAGACAACTCAAAGATCAGGCCTGGAGTCCCTGTCCCCATGTTCCAGTGAGGATTCCGACTCCCATAGCACTTCCTGTGTCTCCTCTCCACTCTCGGCAGATGGTGCCTCAGAGGGCAGGAGCTCGCCCTTGGAGACCCCCAGCGAGAGGCAGAAGGAGCTTGCCGTCAAGGTATCGTATTGCAGCAAGCCAGCCCCTCTAGAAGGCTAGACACTGGGGAGCAAATGGGCAGCAGCATCCTACATAGGCTAGAGTGAAGCTTGGGAGGCCACAGAGAAGGGAGTGGCCTTCATCAAGGTGCGAGGAGGTGACAGCATGGAGGAGGGTTTCAGCAGAGGCAGTGATTAGGGGAGGAGGCAGTGGGCAGGAGATGTGGAAGGAGAATTCATGGAAGGTCTGAGGCAAGCAGGGGAATCCATGAGCTGGATTTGGTGCTCACAGCTGTTCCTCCTGATCAGCAAAATGTTGCCTTTGAAATATTTGTCTCAGCTTCCTCTGGATAGAGCCCCACGTTTCAGGACTGGCAGAGAAGGGCAGATGGGGAGGGTCACTGGCGGGACTGGAAGATGTTTACGTGTTTATGGGGAGAGGTCTTGCTTGCCAACTGGATGTTGCCTTTTGTTTCCCCTGCAGTGCTTGCGTCTCCTCACACATACATTTAACAGAGAGTACAGTCACAGCCATGTCTGTATCAGCGCCAGCGAGAGCAAGGTAGGACCAACTTCCCACCACCATTAGCACTCCCTGCCTCTGACAATGATGTGATAAGCGGTATGGAACTGCTGGTTCTGCTCAGACAGTGACACCTACGGATAGTGAGCTCCTGGCCTGGTCTGCATCGGGAATCTTAGCACAGTGGCTCTCAAACTTTTTTACTTGTGACCCCTTCACATAGCAAGCTTCTGAGTGCATCCCCCCCTTATAAATTAAAAACACTTTTTAATATATTTAATACCATTATAAATGCTAGAGGCAAAGCGGGGTTTGGGGTGGAGGTTGACAGCTTGCGGCCCCCCCATGTAATAACCTCGTGTGACCTCCTGAGGAGTCCCGACCCCCAGTTTGAGAACCCCTGTCTTAGCAGGAGATTCCCGCTGGTATGTGAACAAGGCCTCAGGGTGCCATTTCACTCCACTTTAAGCAGGCTCTGTGTGCTAACACCGATGGCATGCCACAGTCGTCGCTACTAGAGAGGTGCATGGTGCTGCATTCCACGAGATTATCATCTCCACGTCTATCTCTGCTTTGGCTGAGCAGAGAAGGAGGGGAGAAGTTGCCTCTCCTAATATCGGTCTCCTCGCCTGACTGCAGTTCCTCCCTTATGGGACTGAGGAGTGGGATCAGTCTTGTGAATTTAGTGGTTTCCAGAAACCCACCCCCCAGCTACCAGCCTAGAAACACCAGTGCTCTGGGACGTCAGGGCTATAGGGCCAGCTCCAGAAGGAGGCCAGTGTCAGCACTGTGACAAAGCTTCCCACTTTGCCTCCCACTTACTTCTCCAGAGCAGAGCGCAGGAGGGCAGGGCCTAGTGGGTCTGACCTTGCCAGTTCCTGATGTCTTTTCCATTAGGAGCACCCAGGAGTGGAAGGGAAAGGAAGAGGGAGGGAGACGTAGGCAAGGTGTGGGAAAGAGCAGATGACCTGCCCTGAAGATTACCTATGTGGGGAGAAGGAAGGTCTGGTGACCTGCCCTGTCCCTAGAGTCTGCCTCTGCTAGAGGGCTGTACAACTTTCCCTAGCTGGTAAACTGTGGGGAAAAATCAAGGGCATTAGTTTAGTATATCAAATATCGGCTCTAACCAAAGGGCAAGAGCTATAAAAGATAGGATCCTCAACTGTGTTATATCGGCCTAGCTCCCTTCTCCTCTAGGGATCACACTGACTTTGAGAAGCTGTCACCCATCTGTTCACTGTGACCTTTAAAAGACCCCAGTAACCATGCAAATATGAAAGGAATTGTCTCTGCAGCACGGAAGAGCACTCGTTACCCAGCTAGGGCCAAATTCATACCAGGAATAAGCAGGTGAAACTCCATTGTCTTCAGTTCACCAGACCAAACTTTGGCCTTTGCCCTTCAGGTCCACATCCTATAACTCAGATTAGATTGTGACTCCAGGAAATGATTCCTTTCCTCCTGCAGCTGTCAGAAATGTCTGTGACCCTGCTGAGAGACCCCTCCATGCCAGCTCTTGGTGTCACCACCCTGACTCCCTCTTCCACCTGTCCATCACTGCTAGAAGGACGGTATAATGCCACTGAGGTCAGGTAAGAGAGGTGCAGCCAGACCACTGAGGGATGAGAAATGCAAACTGAGGCCCAAACAAATACAGACAGGGTCAGCCTGATCGCTAGTCCAGACACCAACCCACCATGAGATTGGGCATAACCATCAGTCTCTGTGCAAAAGAGGAACAGTGCCAGCATCATGGGAGGTTTGAAGGCCAGAAGTGACAAGCATGGACAGTGATTTGGAGCGGGGGGATGTCTACAGGGATATAGCTATGCCTGGGTCTAGCCACTGCTATCAGTAGGTCACTTTCATGCGCACCAATTTAGCCAGTTTTCAGAAGAGAATCAGAGATGGCTATTGGCAAAAGTCACTGTGAAGGCATCACTGTGATTAAATACCTTTCTTCCCCTTCCAGAACCTCCCATCTCTCTTCCAGGGCAGAAAGCCCTGAGCCAGAACCTGTAGTGGAGGGAGAACAGAAGAAATCTCCTACACATGGGCCTGAAGATGAGAAAGAGACCCAGCGCTTACTGGTCCCCGATATTCAGGAGATCCGGGTGAGGTATGAGCAGTTGGTTTACTTGAAGCAGGAGGTGTCAGTGTGCTCTGAATGCCCTCATGGCTGGAGCTCTTCCTGCTAGAGTGGGCAGTCTCAGTACAGCTCCATACAGCTCCCTCCTCAAATGGCTGAAAGCCTCGCTAGGGACACAGGAAGATGGAAGGTGTTCAGAGTAGCTGCTGCTAAGTGACGAGAAGGTCACAGGGTGGGAGGTTCAAGGCTGGCAGTCTGCATCGGGAGAGGGGGCGGGATTTGCAGGAAGGAGGTGAGGGACAATCTGCAAAACAGCAAGAGTAGGGATAAGTCCTTGGGGTTTTAACCCTTTCGCTGAGTGGTTTTCTGCAGTCACTAAGCATAAGGCTGCCCTGTCTTGCCCTTTGCAGTCCCATTGTCTCAAAGAAAGGCTACCTGCACTTCCTCGAGCCTCACACCAATGGCTGGGTGAAGCGCTATGTGGTGGTGAGGCGCCCCTATGTCTACATCTACAACACGGACAAGGATTCTGTGGAGAGAGCCATCCTCAACCTCTCCTCCGCTCAGGTGGAGTACAGTGAGGACCAGCAGGCCATGCTCAAGGTAATTGCTGGAGGTCATGACATGGGCAGAACAGGGGAAGCACAGCTCATGTCCAAGGCTGTGCTACAAGTGCAAGGTGGGGGAACCAGAATGGCAGCACATGTCTGAAACCGTGTTAAAAGGAAAAGGGAGGGGCTACAGCGATGGCTATGGGCCAGGGATGGGGAAAGACCATAGGGATCAGAAACTGTTATGTGAAAGGAACAGTGACGTTCACAACATGGTGGTGAAGGGAAAAGAGAGTCTAGGAGCACAGTGGTATGCTAATACTCCCCACAGAGCCAGCTTTAGGGAGATCCTGTGCTGCTCGACAGCTCACACCTAGTTTCCTTGTCGGCACGGGGTGCCAAAGGATGAAATTGCACCTTTAAAAATGAGAAATGATCTCATGGTGTCAGAATCCACTCTCCTCTCTGCAGAGAAGCCACAACAGAGCTCTGATCTGTGACTGTTCAGAAAAGCAGAGGATTTTCATATTCAAGGAAACGTAGCCTACTGTGATAGTGTCTTCCCCGGCATCATCTGGGTCCTGTTCTATGTCCCTTCATGCTCCAAGCTGTGCTGCATGTTGCTCGGTGTCATCTCAGGTAGCCCTGTGGACTCATTCATGGCATTGGTCTGTTTCAGACCCCCAACACGTTTGCAGTATGCACGGAGCATCGTGGAATCCTGCTGCAGGCAAGCAGTGACAAGGATATGCACGACTGGCTGTATGCATTTAACCCTCTGCTAGCTGGATCCATAAGGTACCTGGGGACATTTTAAACCATTCCATAAGGAGAAAGCATGGTAACCTGTTAGTAACACTCTAGACTGTATAGCAGTGCAGACTCACCCCTGCAGCACCTCCTGCTGGTCATCCATGGGAATTAGCTCATCCCAGCTCCAGAGCACCCTCTGCAGGCCAGTGATCCACTACCTCTTGGCCCCTGTGTCCCTCCCTGGACTCCAGTGCCCTTTTAGCTGGGGTGCTGCCCCCTGGCAGTAACCCCTTTTTCTCAGGGTCTCCCCTCCCCAGGAAACCCCCACTCACTATCCCCACCTCTCCTCAGTATAAGCCTACTGCCAGTCCTCATCTAGCCCCCACACCCTGGGGCAGACTGCAGTATCAGCCTACTCATCACTGGCAAGGTTGGGTTTGGACCTGCTGCCTTTGCCTACCCCTGGGCTGCCCTCTGCAACCCCCAGTACCTGTTGGCCTTATACTAGGCTGCAGCCTGGGGCTTTCCAGGCTGGAGCTCCCCAGCTCCTCTGCCTTTCCCCAGCCCTGCTCCACTCAGGTACCCTGTCTGTAGCTCCCTACAGCCAGGCCCTTCTCTCTCTGAATGCAGAGAGAGAGAGAGTGTCTCAGCTCCTGGCTCCCAGCCTCTTTATACAGGCCAGCTGTGGCCTGATTGGGGTGTGGCCCAGCTGCGGCCACTTCCCCAGTCAGCCCAGCTTTTAGAGCTGCAGCCCTCTCCAGGGCTGCTTTCCAGTCCTCCCAGGCAGGAGTGGGTGTCCACCCCGCTACAGGCTGCTTTGGAAGAAACTTGGTTTTGATTCTCTAGCTTGGTTTCTTGCTCCCCAAATCTGCTCTGTGATGCCTTTTCCTACCCAGTTATCAAGTATCTTCCATGTATTTTTGAAGGTGGAGCTGCAGGGAGCAAGGCCTGCTGTCTGATGATTATAACATTATTGCAAGGGGTTGGCAGCATCAAATGAGCAAAATAGGGCAATTCCCAGAGACTCCTTCCCCTCCATCCACTTCAGCTCAGTAGCTTATGAGAAGAGGTCTTGGTTTAATTTTTTTCTATCAAAGAGATGGTGCTACTGTTGGTCCCTTCCATTTGTATTTCAAATTGGATGTTGAGGTCTTCTTCCTTGCTCTCAGCACCATTACTTATAAAATTCAAATGCTTCACAGACTGTATGCAGATGCAGACACTGAACCATAAGGGGTTAAAATTGCGGGCGGGCAACATGGTGGTGCTCTATTCTATCTCCACTGACAATACAAAATTTTGCTTCAAATCCCAGAACAGCTGGGTTTCTCCACAACTCTGAACCCTAATGATGATGGTTTAATCCAGTTGGATTGGGGTACACCATGGGGGTAGGTTGTACAAGCACTTCTGTAGTGGCCTCATTGTTTTGTGCAGCATTTAGGAGTTCATTTTAACTGTGATTTCAACTGTGCCACCTTAATGTTACAAGGACACTGTTTCTCCGCGCCCCCCCCCCCCCACACACACACCCACACCGAAATAAACACAGAAATTCAGGGATAGATCCTCAGCTGGTGTAACTAGGCATCAGTCTATTGAAGTCTGTTGGTGGGAGGGATAGCTCAGTGGTTTGAGCCTTGGCCTACTAAACCCAGGGTTGTGAGTTCAGTCCTTGAGGGGGCCAGCTAGGGCTCTGGGGCAAAAATAAATAAATAAATAAATGGAGATATCCTATCTCCTAGAACTGGAAGGGACCTTGAAAGGTCATCGAGTCCAGCCCCCTGCCTTCACTAGCAGGACCAAGTACTGATTTTGCCCCAGATCCCTAAGTGGCCCCTTCAAGGATTGAACTCACAACCCTGGGTTTAACAGGCCAATGCTCAAACCACTGAGCTATCCCTCCCCCCGTTGATAGTTGAGGATTGGTTCCCCTTTGAGCAGGGGGTTGGACTAGATGACCTCCTGAGGTCCCTTCCAACCTTGATATTCTATGATTCATAAAAACAGCCATACTGGGTCAGACCAAAGGTCCATCTAGCCCAATATCCTGTCTTCTGACAGTTGCCAATGCCAGGTGCCCTAGAGGGAATGAACAGAACAGTTAATCATCAAGTGATCCACCCTGTCATCCATTCCCAGCTTCTGGCAAACAGAGGCTAGGGACACTTCAGAGCATGGTTTTGCATCCCTGCCCATCCTGGCTAATAGCCATTGATGCACCTATCCTCCGTGAACGTATCTAGTTCTTTTTTGAACCCTGTTTTATATCAGTTGAGGATCTGATCCTTAATCCCTAGAACAAATCATCATCATTTCAGTAGTAGAGTTAAAAGAAGATAAATAAACAGAAATTCCCTGTAGTCATTGTATAAAGAAACATACCTACCCACCCTCTCTTTGATTAATTCTGATGCTGACCCCTGTCAGGTACAGATGGATTAGATAGGCGGCGGATGGGTCTGGTCTCGTCTGGTCTGTGCCGATGTTAATCCAGCCCATAGTTTCTGTCTGTCTTGCATCTTTCTACCTCCATGACAGGGTCTCTCACAAGAAGAGTGTCTGCCTCCCTTTCTTTCTCTCTGCATTCCTTTTCTAGTCCTTTGACTCCTTTTGTCTCCTGGTTTCCAAAACAGATCCAAGCTGTCCAGAAGGAGAACAGCCCAGATGAGAATCTAACCTAAAACCATTCTCCACCTCATCTGTCTGCCAGCAGGATCAAGATTGCTGGTTCTATACAAGAGTCCCTATCTTAACGTCAAATCTTTCATGCCATCCACCACCCCAGCTGCCTGCTCCACAAATGGATCCATCTCGATTTACACCTTCACTGGGAAAATGCATTTCTGTTGTATCTGCAAAAGCCTGGTACAGCCTGGTCATGATTTCTTGTGTGCATGTGATCTTCTGCCCATCTTCTGCCCATTGAGTGACCTTGGTGTCACATGACCTGTAACTCTCAAAAGCGGGAGTTGTGTTTCTTATTTTAAAGCAAGGCTTCAATTTAAGGAGGCAGGAGCGTTTGAAAGGTCAGAGATTACAAGTCATGAGGAATTGCTTCCATGTGAAGAGAAAGTGATAGGTTTAAGTACTGATACTTCTTAACTTATTGATGTTTTAAAAAAAGATAGATTAAGTTATGGTAGTTTGAGATTATATTTATAAAGTATTTATTTCTATTTACTTCACTGCAATCTGTACATTGAGTTTATCCCGTTTTATTGCTCATGTCTGCATACATAAAGCCTCCTCAAGGGAAGGCAGGGCCTTGGACGGTGGGCCAGTGGGGAAGGGGTTGTCAGGCCATTTTGTGATGCCATTTTTGTCTTCTTTCTCTATCCCAGCACTGGGAGGTCTGGATGGATTCAGGAGGTCATGCTCCCACCTCTGTGCAAACACATACACACTGACTTCAGAACTCTCACCCTCCTACCCTACCCCATCTCCTTAGCCTTGACTCCAGAGCTCAAACCACTTTTCCTCCACGTGGTGACTGGATAGTGCACTGTGCCCTCCCAAACGAGGCAATCCACACATAGCACAGCAAAGACATGCACACGGACAAGTCACCGCACTTATCAAAGCACTTTGTGTGTGTGTGTACATGTGTGTATATCCCATCCCCTCCATTTTCCCAAGTGCTTGAAACCCAACAATGTAGGGTTCAGTGACTAGACAGGTAGAATGCAATGATGACAGGTTCTGGTTGGTTCTACCCTCTATTCTGTCTGTTTTCAGGGCCCAACTTCAAATGGGGTGAAAGGGATGGAAAGGGGATCTGAAGTTCTGGAAGGGCAGATGGTTCTGCCAGTTCACTTTTGGGGTGGGGTGCTGTTTGAATGCTCCAAATGAGTACAATGCAGCCTGCCTCTCAATATCCTCAGTCACCTTCTAATACAGGGGTCGGCAACCTTTCAGAAGTGGTGTGCCGAGTCTTCATTTATTCACTCTGATTTAAGGTTTCGCGTGCCAGTAATACATTTTAACGTTTTTAGAAGGCCTCTTTCTATAAGTCTATAATATATAACTAAACTATTGTTGTATGTAAGGTAAATAAGGTTTTTAAAATGTTTAAGAAGCTTCATTTAAAATTAAATTAAAATGCAGAGCTCCCCGGACCGGTGGCCAGGACCCGGGCAGTGTGTGTGCCACTGAAAATCAGCTCACGTGCCACCTTTGGCACGCATGCCATAGGTTGCCTACCCCTGTTCTAGTAAGTATGCAGTCCATCTATACTGTACTGTACTAATCTCTGGCATGGGCTGTACTGTACTAATCTCTAGCTGGGAAACCTCCAAAAGGATTAATCAGTGTGACAGGGACTCACTGTAGATGGGGCTCAAGAATCCTCTCTGATCAAACCCACCCAGCTGGGAAGTGGGGAGAGGCCAGGAGGGATTGCATCCTGCCAGTGAGTGTAATACGGAGGGAGATGACAGACCTGAGGTGTGCATTACTGCAGACCTGCGTTGTATTTAGCTAGCAATATCTTGTTCTGGGCTATCAGGTGGCTACTACACCCAAATACGGGTTCATTAGTGAATCTTGGGAAGGTGCCCATATAGTTACATCTGTGCAGATGGTCAGAGTTAATAAAGGGTTGTTACTGGTGGGGGTTAAAGCTAGAACATAAAATTATATTGGAGCCTAAATTCAAAACAGTTGTCTCGAACCAGATGGCTGAGTTTCACTGTCCTTTTCTGAAAGGGCTTTTACTTCCTTTCTCTTTCTTATGGGAAGAATCTGTTTGCAGCAACTGAATGGGTAGCAGAGAGAATGGCATGAGGATGGGCAAGGATGAGAGAAATTGAGACTTTTTACTTTTATATGTGATGCCATTTTCTTATTCCCCTACCCCATTTAAAACATTAACTTCATCCTTCTTCCCCTTGCCCCACCTCTCTATTGGGCTTAGACTGCCTACATAGAACAGCTAAGTTGGTGGGGGAGGCGTACCAAAGCAGAGATATGGCATCATTAATAATCCCTCTCCCCATGGGAAGGACCTGGTCATCTGGTGCTGACCTTGCTATAAGCTTTTTAAAGTAACTTCAGCAGCAAAGATCTTTATTAATTTTTAATTACCCAGATTGTTTAATTAAGATTTCCAGTTGGTTGTATGCATGCACCTCCAGGCAGAAACCTGGGGAGCTCCCCCTCCCTCCATACATCTCCCAGGACCATCACTGGTCCATGATTCATCGTCACACTTCACGGCTGACTTTAATTTGCACAGCACAGCTGTGCCTTGGTTCTCTTCGGCACTTTTCCATCCTCTCTGTTGTGTTTGTTGAGTATTGTGTGTGTGGCTCCAGGTGGAGATGGTCTATGCACTGTATTTCTTCTTTCCCTTTTTCTTGTTTTGGGGAGGCTAGGGTATGGGATAAGGGGACATGTGGGGAGCCCAACAAAGCCTCCATGCAACCTCAACGGGCTTGTAGAGATATCACACGCACACAAAAGCTCCCAGCAATTGCCCAACACCATGCTGCAGTGTGAAGAAAGATTTCATTCCCCAGCCTCTGCCTCCTGTCTGCACAGAGACAGTGCATTTGTATTGAGCCACTATTTCGTTCAGCTCTCATGCTGCATGACAAGTGCTTTTTTTCCCTCTGGACCCTGATTTGCTTTTGACCAGCTCCACGGCATCACTCCCATTCCCAGGGAATTTCATTCTATCTCTCTGACCTGGATAGCACTGCGGGTTCCTGCAGGGAACAGTGTCAGTGCAGGTACCAGTGCTTGTTCCTTTCAGTGGGCTTTTCTTCTTTGTGCCAGTTCTACATGGGCAGACGGGTTAGACAACAACTTGCTGACCAAGGTGAAGGTCTCTTGTTTTTACAGCTATTCCTTATGGACTTAAAATAATTTTTTTAAATCCAGGACTGAATTTTAATAATTAGATTAAATGCCTAATGCCTGGAATAAGCGCTTTATACATACAAATAAATCTTATGTGTTGTTATATACACAGAGAGATGCTTTGCCCTCAATGAGAATCTGCAAGAGAGAAACTCCAAACTATGTCCCCAGTTCAGAAAAGTATGTAAGCACATGCTTATGTCCATCCCTATCCAGCAGAGCAATTAAGCATGTGCTTAAATCACACTGAATGGAATTAAGCACATATCTAATGTTTAGTACATGCCACAGTTTTTTGCTGACTGCTGAATCAAAACCTAGAACAGTTAGAGCGCTCTTCCCCGTGTGTATATATCCATACTAATCAGTCTTAAGTTCTAGGGTTTTTTAATTCTTTGTTCTATTTCCCAACTCTGCTTGACAGTATAGGGGAGTTTTCATAGAAAGGACTAGGGCTCATTCTAACTGCTAAACCTCAACTCAAAGAACTGATTGTCACCTGGTGAAAATACATTTCAGCAATCTCTGCTCTAGCAGCAAATAAATCCTTCCACTGAGGCCCTGATGGAAAGTCTCCCATCAGCTTCAGTGCATTTTGAATCAGGCCCTTGGTAAAGACCACTTGGCTTGAGTATTTATTTTAACATAATTCATAGTCAAAGACTTGTTGTTTAGATGCAGTTTCTAAGAAATTTCCTGAATGGCTGGTACAGTCCCATCAAGAGCTAGTGTAAACCAAAGTCTTCTGGAGCCAATCTTAGGAAACATATGAAATTTTAAGCCCCTTCATTTGGTAAAACAGGCTTATTAAATTTCCATTCTCATCCCAACTGAACTCTGGATTTTAAGGGTAAATCAAGGCATTCTTGGTCTCCTGGGGTTTTTTAATCTCCTATTCAGTCTTCTCAGAGATTTCCCCAGGTTAGAGCAGTCTAGAGTGGAGGTAGCTAGGTTATAAAAGTATATCACCATGCTTCCTTATATACATGCCTGTATTTGTTTTGGACTAGACACAGAATCACAGGAGACAATGGGAGAAAAATGAGGAAGGGATGCAAATGCCAGTGTTGGGACCTCTGGGAAACCCTGTCAGGTCAGAGAGGAAGGATGGCTTGGGGGTGATACTGTTATGGGTCATGCCTTAGGTCAGCGATCCTGAAGAGCATGGTCTTGATGGTTTGGTTATGGAGAAGACATCTAGTTTCACTCAGTCAGTGCTGTGTGCCTGAGGCCAGCAAATCTGCAGAGCACACTACTTTTCTGAGTTAGAGACTGAGGTCTGATCCAAAGTCAGTGGGAGTCTTTCCATTGACACCAGTGGGCTTGGATCAGGCCGCAAATATAAAGATCTAGAGTTGAGGAGTAATGACTGCTTATGGGACTTATACTGGCTCCCAATAAAATATCCAGATAGTAGCCATCTGCTGTTCATGTGGATTCCGCAAAAGGGTTATTTTCTTTAGTACCATCTGGGGAATGGCTGGAGAGTCCTAATTCTATATCTTCTATATTTGGAGAGTCCTGGAGAGTCCTCTTCTATATCTGACACCCCACACCCTTCCTCACTTAGCATCCCTGCTGTTAAGAGTCCCACCCAGAGAGAGATGCATTCTCAAAAATTCAAGTAGAGGATACATGAACCAGCTCTTAGAGTAGCTGAGATTAAATTCTATTCATTGTTCTTTCCATTGGATTTGAGGATGAAAAGGGTCTTCAAGATTTAAACATTAAAGAATGGGTAAATCTTTTAGCTTCGGTCAAAGCTGAGGCATAGAAACTTTGTTGTGATGGTAAGAATGCTACAGGAAAAGACCCATATAGACCTTATTAATGAAGAAAGAATCCAAAATGGGTGTATTTGGATAAGACATCCCCAGTATGTTTCAATATTTGTAGATGAATTTGAAAACTAATTGAATTCAGTGTTAAACCACTGAGATGTAGACTGGTCACTCAGAATTAACAGCAGTTGCACTGTAATAGAATCATATTGTTTCCTTGGTGTAACAGAGGTCAGTGAGATACAATGATGTCATCAAAGTTAATCATGAGTTAACAGGAAGTTAGGATAAGAGATAATTTCATGGAACAAGTTTGTCATGGGGAAACAGCTTTGAAATCAATTGACTGTCTTTGCCTGGTCTCTTGTAATCATGCAAGAGGCAGTCATTTGTCTACATTAAGTTTTTCATATGAGCACCCATCCTAAAGATCCTCAGCCAACAATGAGGTGCTCACTCAAAAGAAAAATACCAGCTCTTCAAAGGGCCTTCAGAGAACAGCTGGTCTGGTAACCACAGAGAAAGATTTCCCAAATTGACCTCAAAAGAAACAAGCAAGAAGAAGTTGAGTTTTTACAGTGGGAAAGGAGGCGGCACCTGACTGAGAACTGGATACGTTCACATAAATATTTCCAGCTGTTGCCAATGATGAAGGAAACGTGCTACAGTATGTCATAATCAGCAGCAGCCCATAAGTCTAACACCTTCCTAATATGCTCTTACTGTCTCTCTTTCTGTCTGGTAATCAATGAGCTGTATGAAGGAACTCTTCATGAGATTCAACTTGTTATTAAGACCTTACTGTAAAATGAAGGCGGTTGTGGTTAATTTTATTTTAGTTTGGTTGGGGTTTTTTTGTTTTGTTTTGAGGGTTTTGTTTTATTTGTTTGTTTTTGCCTGTGCTTCCATTATCTAGTTTGTCCACATGAGTTCTTCCTGTGATGCCATCCCCAAGTGCTGGGAGACCATTTCTCTTGCTTTGTATATATGTGATTGCTGTGAGCACACCCTGTACTACTGTATAATAACAAAACTACTGAAGTCATGAGTCTAGTTTTCTCAATGTCTTAAACTATGAGTGTTGGAATTTAGGGTCTTAAACTGTTTGTGTATACTTAAGGCATTGTTCAGTTAAGAAATAAATGTGGCATTTATGCAAATACCGGACAATGGCTCCTTGGTAATTTTTTTTCTTAAAGAAATAGGTGAGGTCAGGTTTAATAAAATGAAATAAGGTTTTAACTCAACATCGTTCTAGAGATAAATTAGTATGACAAATGAATTCTCTTCTCAACCCAATAAAGGGCGGTCTTTTAGATTAAATCTCAGGAAAAACTTCCTAACTTGAAGAACAGTAGGACAATGGAAAAACTGCCTCAGGAGGTTGTGGAAGCTCCTTCACAGGAGATTTTAAAAAGGAGGCTGGATACAGCCATCTGTCTTGGATGGTTTAACCACAACAAATCCTGCATCTTGGCAGGGGGTTAAACTAGATGACCCTTGCAGTCCCTTCTAATCCTATGATTCTATGATGCTGTAGCTTCGAGGGGGTACCTATATGTATGTTCAGATATTTTATACCATTTGAGCTTTGTCATACTAGTATATAGTAAAAGAACAGTAGCACTTAAGGTGATAATCACAATGGGTTCAATTGCCCTCTCATTTAGTGCTCGCTTACACAAAATGCTCAGCTCTCTGGCCACAACACAGCAAAACATTTAAGGATGTGAGTAGTCCACTGACATCAATGGTTACAAGCGTAAGTGCTTTGTTAGATTGGGACCAGAGTGCTCAGCACATTACTCCTGGGGGAATTTGCACCATTGCACATGCAGAATTTGCGCAGAAATTAATGTGAATGCAAAATTTCCTTTTTCTCCCACAGAAATGGGCTGCAGAGCTGCTAGCTGCCATTAGGAGTCACTGGACCCAGCAGAGCACAGCTCACAAATAAAAGACAGTGCCAGGGAGAGGGGTAAGGAGCTGGAGGGTTCCTGGCAGCTGCAGTTCCTGGCACATCCTGAAGGAAGGAGGCAGCCTGCAGGAATCTCCACACAAGCCCAGGACCCAGCATCAGGCTATTTCTCCCTCTGGATCCCTGGGCTCTGGGGGCTAGGGGGTATAGGTGTCTGGGCTGGGGTGTGCCCCACAGCTGGACTCTGTGGGGAGGGGGTGTAGGTGTCTGGGCTGGGGTGCGCCCCACAGCTGCACTCTGGTGGGGAGGGGGTGCAAGTGTCTGGGTTGGGATGGGTCCTGCATCTGAGCTCTGGAGGGGAGTGTGAGTGTCTGGGCTTGGGAGGCCCCAAGCTGGGGGATAGGGGGTGCGTGTGAGTGTCTGGGTGGAGGGGGCTCTGGGAGGTAGGGGGTTTGGGTGTCTAGGCTGGGGGGCACTCCACAGCTGGGCTCTGGGGGGGGGGGATAGGGAGTGTGAGTG